AGGCAAACAGGAAATGGTCTGTCTCGGTGGGAGTAGCTTGAGCACAAGAGACCTCAAAGTCCACCTCCATAGTGACACACTTCCTCGAACAATGCCACACCTACTCCAACAAAGTCATACACCTCCTAACAGTGCCACTCCCTTTGTGGGCCATTTTCTTTCAAACCACCAAAATGTCATCTCCACATTAAAATGGCTTTTCTAAGTAACAAACACTTCTCACAGAAATTACTAAGCAAATGTCAAAAGACATTTCTACAGCTATACTGCATCATTTTATTCTGATGCAATACCACTTGATCATCTTTGTTTTCCTGTGCTTTTAGGGCATGACATTTTTTAAAAAATATATAACTTTGCTTGTTTTATCATCCTTGAGCATTTCCCCTGTTCCAGTAGTCTGACAACTCTAGGTCTGACTCCTTTAAGTCTTCATTCCATTTTGAGATACAGCTGGTATAAAATGCTCTAATCTCATTCCTCTGCAAGAGGAGGGTGTCCGATATCCCATCTATTGATGGGGTGGTAGCACACACCTTTAATCCCAGCACTCAGGAGGCAGAGGCAGGCAGATCTCTGGGTTCAAGGCCAGCCTGGTCTACAGAGCAAGTTCCAAGACAGCCAGGACTACACAGAGAAACCCTGCCTCAAAAAAAAAAAAAACTGTCATTTTTCCAAACATGTCCTGAAACCTTTGTCAAAATGAGCACGGTGTAAATGCAGGGTTTACTTTTAAGCATGCTCTTTCATTGGTCTGTCTGTTTTTATGCAAATTCATGCTGGTTTGACAAGTACAACTTAATAGCTAATTTTAAAGTCAAGTAACACAATGCTCCTTCCTTCTTTGCTATAAGATTGCTTTGACTATAAAGGATTTTATGGCGGTTCCATAAAACGTTAAGGGTCTTTTCTGTTGTTGTTTTAAGTTCTGTGAAGATTGTCATTACTGTTCTTTATTTGGTTTAGTTTGGTTTTTGAGACAGGGCCTTGAATTCCTGGCCCTCCCATAATGAGGAGGCATGCTGGGATTGTAGCCATGCAGCACTAACTACACCAGGCTCCATCGATGTATTTCACTGAACCTATAATCACTTCCCATGTCTGTCGTGTGATACTCCTGGAGATGTGAATATGTCAACAGACCAAAGAGGCGACTCCACACACATCTAGCTTGATGAACCAAGTACCAGGGCTACTTACCAGCCTGGGTGACTTCCAGGCTGCAGCACAGGAAACAGCTCTCAGGAGCATCTCTGGAACGGCCTGCCCAGCTTGCAGGCAGCTGATCAAAAGGCAGTTTCTCCTCCTCAGCAACTGCCGCGTCCCTAAGACTGTAGGAGGGTCCTTGTGAGCCCCAGCATCTCCTGAGCTTCCTGAGCTTCGAAACCCACTCCTTCCTCATTCAGAGGAAACAGCTACACAAAAATGTCAACAATTTTGTATGTGCTAGACACATGCCTGCAATGTTTCATACATGGAATCCCTGTAATGATTTAAATTTAGAAAACTATACAGCAGTCAAACTGGGTGAATTAGAGCTGTTACATTAGCTTGTCTAAATCTCAAAAAGCAAACAACAAAAAGACAAGCTGGACAAATATACATATTGCATGATATCCCACTTATATATGTAAAAGACATAAAATTCTAAACAAAACTGAGTAAAAGCATATCAACATATATAGACAACATCCAACGTCAAGTTCACAATGGGGGTCTGCAGTGGGATGGGACAGTGATGAGTTAGAGAAGGATTCAAAATGGTCTCCAATGATATAAAACTGTATTGTTTCTACATCTAAACTGAGAATAGCAAACACTAAGATGAAGTGCATGGTAGGTGCTAGTTACTTATACTGCTTACATTAGGTATTAGCTTGTAAGTGTTAGAATATTTAAATGTATGGCTTTATTAACATAATTCAAGTCTGGTATGTAGCATAAGATACAGACTAATGTGCCTCCATCAAAACATATTTAACTTTAATTCTTGTCTCAGAATTTATCTTCTAATCAAACAAAAAGAGACCTCAGTTCTTGCAATAGAAAACTAAGAGTGATGTCTGAAGGATGGAATAGTAATTCAGACATGAGAGATTTGGGGTGTTCTTTCATCTGTCCACTAGAGGGAAGTGTTGAACTTAAAATGTTTTTTAAAACGGCTTGTTTTTGAACTGACATTTAACATCACAGGAAACCACATTGTGCTATGAGAAAATAAACTTGTTTTCTTTCCACATCTTCTACAAACACATATCAAAAACTATGGTTCTTTATATGTACTCATGTAAACAACACTTCTCAGAATCCAAACTATAGCTCCAATTCTGAGGAATTTTAATTACACTGGGAGAAGTATATTTAGAAAAGTATCAGAGCAAGCGTGCTCTTTCTAGCTTAGAAACACATCAGTGTGGCTATGTATAAACTAATCTTGTATAAGGCTTCTCCTGAAAGGGCCCGAACAAAAACCAGTTTGCTCCTGTATTGGAAACTGTACACTGTGGAGACTGAAGAAATGGCTCAGCCATGAAGAGCACGTTTTGCTCTTCCAGATCCCAGTTAGATTCCCAGCACCCACATCAGGAGGCTCATAACCACCTGTAACTCCAGCTCCAGAGGATCCCACACCTCTGGCGTCTGCAGATGCCTGCCCTCCCCCCATAACTAAATATATATTTAAAAAGTAAGATTCATAATTGTACAGTCATAAGGGGTCATTTGGACAGAAAAAAATTTTAAAGAAAAATAAATCAACAAATTGATAAACTGTACATTGTATCATAACTAGCATAAATCCATACACTATTAAAGATGATCATCTCAAGTCTTTTTCTCTACACGTAGATCAGCTGTGGGTCTCTATGTTAACCACCATCTACTACAGACAAACGTTTCTATGATGAGGGTTAGTGGGTGTATTAATCTATAGGTAAAACAATAAAATCATTAGGACTCAGTTTAACACTGTGTCTATTTAGCAGCATAAAAGTAGTAAGTTCTCTTAGAAAAGGTATGGGTTTCATTTTGTATGTCGAGACTTAATTCAATCAAAGTGGTTGGTTACTCACAATGCTTGCAGCCACTATTATACCAAGGGGCATGTCTTGCCTGGCCAATTCTTTTTTTTTTTTTTTTTTCCTTTTTTTTCTCTCTCTCTTGGTTTCTTGAGACAGGGTTGTTTTGTGTAGCTCTGGTTGTCCTGGAACTAGCTATGTAAACCAGGCTGACCTCAAACTCACAGAGATCCACCAGCCTCTACCCCGAGTGCTGGGATAATGTGGCTCACAGGGTTCCCAGCTGGGTAGGACTGATGATGGTTTTTCTCCACTGGTAGCATGCACAGTACCTTCCAGCACTATGAAAGCTAGCCAGTAGGGATGAAGCTTCCACGTAAGTACCAGCTTGATTTCTCCATGTCCTATGGCTCAAGTATGCGCTGTCTTCAGCAATGTGGTCAGTCAAGTTACGGAGGATAAACAGCAGCAGCAGCAATAGCCAGTAATGTTCGAGGGTCTATGAGGGCTCACAGAACATCACCGGCCCACAACTCCATCTGGCACTGAGCTTTTTATTTGTTCACAGGTGGTATTGAGCAGTGTCGCCCTGCTAGATCATAACTCCACAGTGAGTGCAAGGCTAGAGGGATGGCCCAGATTAAGAGCACTGGCTACTCTTCCAGAGAACCCAGGTTCAGTTCCTAGCATCCACCTAGTGGCTTGCAACTGTTAGTAACTCCAGTTCCTGGGATCCAGCACCCTCTTCTGGCCTCCACAGTCCATATACATACAAGCAGGCAAAATACTCATACACATAAAATAAATAAATAAATCCTTCAAAAGAATAAGTGACTGTCAACTGCTCAGCCCTCAGTGGGCCATATCACCCACTCCACGGTTCATGAAACATGAAGAGGGAAAGAACTGGTAGACATGAGGCGTGCTGGGAAACTGTCCTCCAGGCAGGCCACAGCCTTTGCATGCTAAACTGTCATTACTTGTACAAGATCTGCACAAGATTCCACCTGTCAACATACTGTCATGGAGAGGGGAAGAGCTTCTTGAGGCCACACCCCTCCCTAAGAATGTGTAGGCAGTTAATGGATGCTAGAAAGAGGCCCTGGTGAGGGCCCACACCTCTCTTAAGCATCTATAGGCAGTTCATGATTGTGGGGGAGGAAGAGACATTATCTTCTGTGGTATAGCCACTGCTGAGCTGACCATGCTCCTGCAATCCCCGATCCATGCTCCTGTGGGCAACCATAATTAAACACAATATTTCACCTCAAAAAAGACATGAAAGTAGAAGGGGAATTATTGGGAAGAAGAAAAGGATCAGCAGAAGTAAAAGGGGGCAAAAGAGGGTAATGAGAATGCATATGATCAAAATACACTATACACACACCTATCAAAATGTCACAATAGCAAACCCATTACTGATCTGGCCACGGTGGCACACACCTTTAAACACTTGGGAGGCAAAGCCAGGTAGATCTCTGAGTTCCAGGCCAGCCTGGTCTACAAAGAGAATTCCAGGACAGACAGGGCTGATACATAGAGAAACTCTGTCTCGAAACCCCCCAAAAATTATTTTGTATAATTAATATATCCTAATAAAAGTTTTTTTAAAATCACCTATTTTAGGTAAGTAAGCATGGTGGCTCATGCCGAAAATCCCAGCACTCAGGAGGTGGAAGCAGGAGAATTAGGAGGAGTTTAGGAACAGCAAGAGATATGCAGCAAGTTGAAGTCCAGCCTGGTCTACATGAGCCCCTGTCTCATACACGCTACGCAATGAAGCCGTCCAGCCGTAATCTTCATGGTGTCTGTCTGTAACAGCGTCCCTACTGTCTCGTCACGACAAGTCAAAGATGGCCTTCCAGAAATCAAAGGTTCGGAATTGATTTCCACCTGAGTGAGCTAGTAAATTATCCTACTAACAAAATTTTAAGACCATAAGCATCGAGAACATAGTCTAGAAACCGAGTTAGTTTGAAATACCTGTACTATGAGCTGTAACTCTCCTCGCTCTGCTTCCCATTGCTCTGCTTGTAATCTAAACTCCTCCAATGCAGTCTCCCTGACGTGAGACTCCATCTCATTCTTCTCTTGCTGATGTTTCTCCAGTGCTTCCTTTACATGGACAAAATCTGGCTTTACTATGACATCAATAAAGGTTACCTTTTAGCTTTCCAACCTAGTTTAAATGTACAAAGGGGCTCTCCCTTCCAATAGACGGTTAAAAACTCTTAATCCATGTTAAACTCTTGGGGCTGGGGATGGCAGCTACTAGTAGTTGCTTAGCATGCTTCAAGCCGTGGAGTCAATCCCCAGCTGTTCAGAACACCAGGCATGGTGGTGCATACCTACAATCTCAGGATCTGGGAGGAGGAGGCAGAATAATCAGAAGTTCATGGTAATCCTTGTCTATACTGAGAGTTCAAGGCCAGTCAAGGACACATGAGACTCTGTCTCAAAAAATTAATAATTCATGTTTAAAATCTTAATAAAACTATCACTTTATCAAAATATAAAACAGAAATAAATAAATTCAACATCAGAGGTTGGTACAAAATGAAAGAAACAAAAATAAAGTCCTGTTAGTATGAACATCTTTACCTGTGAATAAATGGTATTATCCCTAAAATTTATATGCAAACCTGGTAAAGAAAAAGGGTATTTTTTTTAAGGATTTATTTATCATGTATACTGCATTCTGCCTGTTATGTCTGCCTGGCCGCCAGAAGAGGGCACCAGATCTCATAATGGATGGTTGTGAGCCACCATGTGGGTGTTGGGAATTGAACTCAGGACCTCTGGAAGAACAGCCAGTGCTCTTAACCACTGAGCCATCTCTCCAGCCCCAAGGGTATTTCTAAAAGAGGAAAAAGAGAGTTGTTCAACACGTCAGAATAAGAATATTCCTAATGATGCCAAGTGGTGGTGGCACACGCCTTTAATCTCACCACTGGAGAGAAGGCAGAGGCAGGTGAATCTCTAAGAGTTCAAGGCCAGCCTGGTCTACAGAGTGAGATCCAGGACAGCCAATACTTCACAGAAAAACCTTGTCTTAGAAAAAAAAAAAGGAAAAGAAAGAAAGAACGAAAGAAAAGAAAAGAATATTCCTAAATGTTAAAACTTTGAAAATACAAATACTCAGTTCAGACTATAACTAATTTCTAGTTCTACAGATAGTTTCAAAGGCTTTTCCTTTTAAATTTTCCTAAGTATACCACATTTATGAGATCTAATTAGGTCCAAATTCTTAATATAAATACAGGTTTCCTGTGAAAATCAATTTTCTAGCCTACAGGTTTAAAACTAAGTCTTCATTAACATGGGGAGAAAAGGTCTATGGTTCATGTGAGCAAAAGCGGGATCTGTCCACATGGATCTGTTTGTAAATATCACCCTCTTAACTTTCTCTAGCAGAAATCCTTGAGAGTCTGGGGCTTCCCTACCCTCAGGACCAGAAAGTGACTCCTGTTCAACCCCAAACTCCTCTATGCATCTCAGTGAGGGGAGCGCAAAGATAATACCTAAACGCAAAGCAGAGATACTCTAAGATGTTGCAAAGAACACATCAAGACTTCAGACCTTAGGGTGCAGCTAACTGATGTAAGGGATGCTGCCACCATCACCCTCTTCCTTCCCCGTGTCACACTTTATTCCGCTAAGTAACCCATGTCCACCCAAGGATTTACAGACTAAGCTCACCTACACATCCACCACTCAAACACCAGGGCAGAGTGACGCAGTCACCAAGAGACAAGCCAGGACTACTGGCAGGGAGAAAATAAAAATAGATCAGCTGACACTGTCTGTGGATACTAGTGGTGAAGCTTTTACATCTACTAACTGCTGTGGTAAAATCATTTTTTAGTGAAAATGCAATATAGGGAACAAGGAAAGTCCTGAGTGAGCATGAGTTGTCTGACACTCGGGTACAGCCATGTCAAGGACCAATGCCTCAGCCCCACGAGAGTGGCAAAGCCTACCCCAGGTCAGGCTCAGAGGGACAGCAAAGCCTTCCTTGGGTCCCAGTGCAAATACTGAGTGTGTACAGAAAACCTCCACCATCGCTTTCTCCCCAGATGTTTGCAACCTGAAGACTGCTCTCCTGTGAAGATGAGCTAACCCTGCCTCCTTGTTCAGCTGTACACCAGGGCCCTGGCCCCATGTTTATCCGCCTGTAGCAACCCCACCTCCTTGTTCACCTGTACACCAGGGCCCTGCCTCCATGTTTATCTGCCTGTAGTAACCCCACCTCCTTGTTCAGCTGTACACCAGGGCCCTGTCCCCATGTTATCTGCCTGTAGTAACCCCACCTCCTTGTTCAGCTGTAATAATAAACACGTTGCTGAGCTTCTAGGAAGCTGGGGCTTCTCCATCAGAGGGCCCAGAACACCCAATACCAGCTTTTCTGTGTCCCTGCGTCTGTCTTTGCTTCATTCTCTTACCTCTCCAGTCGGGTCAAGTCCCTAAGACCATGTAAGGATGCAGCAATGCATAAAAAGAATGCATACTTAAGGTAAATATGGAGCATTTTTACATTTTCCTTTTCTTTTTTAAAAAGTTTAAACTATTATAGTAGGTAGTGGTAGTGCATGCCTTTAATCCCAGCACTTGGGAGGCAGAAGCAGGCGGATCTCTATGAGTTTGTCACCAACCTGGACTATAGAGTGAGTTCCAGGACAACCAGGGCTACACAGAGAAGCCCTGTCTTGGGGAAGAAGAAAAAAAATTAAACAGTTACTTCAAAATCATGTCATATACACTCAATTCAATATATACTGTCTAAGTTGCTTGTCAACTTCAACCCTAGCCCCACTTGTACTGTAGGGAGTAAAAAAAGGACCAAAACTACGGAAATATGTACCTCACAACAGCCTTAGTAAAAATTAATGATTTTACATTTCATCATTCATCGTAGAATATACTCTACATAGGGCATTATAAAACACATAATTTTCTGTATTTATTTCATATTCAAACTGAAATCTAGAACCCATTTATTTATTTCTTTTTTGTTGGTTTTTTTGTTGTTGTTGTTTCTGGAGACAGGGTTTCTGTGTAGCCCAGGCTGTCCTGGAACTTGCTCTATAGATAGTCAACACTGGCCTCAAACTCACAGAGATCACCTGCCTCTGCCTCCCAAGTGCTGGGATTAAAGGCGTGCGCCACCACCGCCCAACCAGAACCCACATTTTTTTTTTTTTTTTTTTTTTTTTTTTGGTTTTTCGAGACAGGGTTTCTCTGTGTAGCTTTGCGCCTTTCCTGGAACTCACTTGGTAGCCCAGGCTGGCCTCGAACTCACAGAGATCCGCCTGGCTCTGCCTCCCGAGTGCTGGGATTAAAGGTGTGCGCCACCACCGCTCGGCAGAACCCACATTTTTAAAATCCACATTTTTTTTTTTTTTTTTTTTTTTTGGTTTTTCGAGACAGGGTTTCTCTGTGTAGCTTTGCGCCTTTCCTGGGACTCACTTGGTAGCCCAGGCTGGCCTCGAACTCACAGAGATCCGCCTGGCTCTGCCTCCCGAGTGCTGAAATGTTGCTAGAAGAAAAGGGATATGTGTCTTCACTTTTATAGTATTCCAAAGAAGTAGTTGTTGCTTTCCTTTTGGTTATCCTTTTTACATTTTGTTTGTTTCATTTTTGTTATATTTCTTCTGTTTATTTGTGGTGGTGTGGATCAAACCCAAGGCCTCAGGCAGTTGAGGCAAGGACTTACCACTGAGATCAGAGATCTCAAATGCTTTCCACAAAATAAACAGTATACATCTTAATCCAATGTTGAAGCACAACACAGGAGATATGTGAAAATGCCTCTAAGAAGAAGGGAGGGAGGGAGGAAGGGAGGGAGGGAAGGAGGGAGGGAGGGAAGGAGGAGGAGGGAACCTAAGGGTAGAAACTTTCACTTTGGTGAAGTATTTTACCTGTAGAGTTTTTTGTAGCCTGCTTTTTTCCTGCATAAGTAACTCATATTCTTGATTGCAATTTTGAATTATATTATCTCTTTCCTCCAAATCACGCTCAAATCTCCTGCATTCTTCTTTCCATTTCTCTTGGGAAGTCTGAAATGTTTTCTCAATTTCATTTGCCTTTTCTTGAAGTTCTGAATTCTGAGCTATTAAAAATATGACAGAATATATTTATAACCACAAATTAATTAATTAAGAGTCTAAGAACCTGACCAATAGAGTTGACCTTGTTTACTACATGATCTTTAGGACAAAATGTTTAACTTTCTCCCTTCAGCAAACTCTAGAAAACCCGCTGTCCCTGTAGTACTACAATGACTCTTCACTCTCTTCCTTTCCTCCGACGGGGTGATTTTGCTATGAACCAATATGGCACACTCTTGAAGGCATGCCCATGTCAGATACAGTTCTAACTCTTGAAGGCATGCCCATGTCAGATACAGCTCTAACACTTGAAGGCATGCCCATGTCAGATACAGCTCTAACACTAGCTACACCTGGTGCTAACTTTTCCTCTTTTTCAAGAAAACAAATCTGGCTGGGCGTCGTGGTGCAGGCCTTTAATCCTAGCACTCTGGAGGCAGAGGAAGGCAGATCTCTTGAGTTGGAGGCCAGCCTGGTCTACAGAGTGAATCCCAGGACAACGAGGGCTATGTAAAGAGACCCTGTCTCAAAAAAAAAAAAGAAAAGAAAAAATTGAAAACAAGACAAACAGACATATATAGACATATATATATATATATACACACACACACATATACATATACATACACACACATACATATACATACACACACACATAATATATAAATCTGGAACTACAAATAGTTCAGTGGGTCAAATCACTAGCCTCAGAAGCCTGATGACCTGAGTTTGATTCTCAGATTCCACAACGAACAAAAAGAAAAAACTTTGGAAAGATTATCTATCCTCTGGCCTTCCCATGTACTCTCACTCTCTCTCTCTCTCTCTCTCTCTCTCTCTCTCTCTCTCTCTCTCTCTCACACACACACACACACACACACACACACACACACACTTCTATATAATAATAAGTTGGGTTTTTTTTAAAGAAAACAAACCAAATGTGCTGTGAGATGTTCTGCTATGGCAAATGTATTGCTAATTAGTCAATAAATAAAACACTGATTGGCCATTGGCTAGGCAGGAAGTGTAGGCGGGACAAGGAGGAGAATAAAGCTGGGAAGTGGAAGGCTGAGTCAGAGAGACACTGCCAGCCGCCATGATGACAAACAGCATGTGAACATGCCGGTAAGCCACGAGCCATGTGGCAAGGTATAGATTAATGGAAATGGATTAATTTAAGCTGTAAGAACAGTTAGCAAGAAGCCTGCCACGGCCATACAGTTTGTAACCAATATAAGTCTCTGTGTTTACTTGGTCGGGTTTGAGTGGCTGTGGGACTGGCAGGTGATAGAGATTTGTCCTGACTGTGGGCCAGGCAGGAAAACTCTAGCTACAAATGGCACCCAACGTGGGGCAAGAGTTTCCACCTAAAAACTGAGAAAAAAGATTCTAAAATGGAGCTAAAAACAGCTTCCTAATTGTCTCTCTCAAATGAGCGGCAGCTGCTGGTTTGAGCTACTGGTGGGTTCCTAGCGCTCGACCTGCTGTATGGTGGGAATGAGGCCTCTGCAAGTGGTACATTAAACTGCATGGTGGATTTAGCCTTTGCTAGTACAAAACAAAAAAAGAGGTTTCTGGGCTCACGCTGCTTGGATAAAAGCATAGACCCACGATAGCTCCCAGAGCTGGTGGTAAACGTAGCCATATTGGGAAGCTGAGGTGAGCAGAGCCAGCAGTCACAGCTGCTGCAGTTTAAAGCAATAGATTCACAATAAGACAGATTCAGATGTAATAGTTTACAATGTGTGTAAAATATACATAGGCTTGAAAGAGACAAAAAAAGGTGATATATACAGTTATATAAACAAATACATAGTTTTAAAAAATAAAGTCTTTAAAGAGACAGTAAAATTAATATAAAAAATAAGCCATGTAAAGATGAATATTACACAGAGAATCTGGATTGTGTTGTCTTTGGGATTTTTAACTGCAGAAAAACATTTGATTGTAAAAGATGTTGAGTTAAACCAATATGTATATTTTAAAGATACCTTGACTTCAAAATTTGGATGTAAGGATGTGTTGCTTTGGAAAAGAGACTCTGCTTTTGTTCCCACAGAAAGCCAGAGGCTATGGATTTGTTCCAGATTAAGATACATCAGGTTTGACCAGCCAAGACCCCCTGAAAGGTCTCCGATGACACCATGGCCCAGATGATCCAACATCCAGAACGATTTGAAGGCAACTGGCTCAGACAATACACCCTCATGGACTATTCCATAATTCTAAAATTTTCTTTGTGTCCCTATAAGATACAGCGCCCCCCTCCAGTAGGAAGTAGTAAGAGAAGCTAAGCCCAAATTCCCAAATTATATGTAATTTTACTTTGTTAAGGTTAAAACCTTCCTTTTTGAAAAAAAAAAGGGGGAAAGTGCTGTGAGATGTTCTGTATGGCAAATGTGTTGCTAATTAGTCAATAAATAAAACACTGATTGGCCATTGGCTAGGCAGGAAGTGTAGGCGGGACAAGGAGGAGAATAAAGCTGGGAAGTGGAAGGCTGAGTCAGAGAGACACTGCCAGCCGCCATGATGACAAACAGCATGTGAACATGCCGGTAAGCCACGAGCCATGTGGCAAGGTATAGATTAATGGAAATGGATTAATTTAAGCTGTAAGAACAGTTAGCAAGAAGCCTGCCATGGCCATACAGTTTGTAACCAATATAATTCTCTGTGTTTACTTGGTTGGGTTTGAGTGGCTGTGGGACTGGCAGGTGAGAGAGATTTGTCCTGACAGTGGGCCAGGCAGGAAAACTCTAGCTACACAAATGTGTGTTTTTTCTCTCCTTTTGAATACGGTCTTAACTAGGATTATTTTCTGTTATGTATATGTGTGTAAGCGTTCGTGTATGAATGTTGTTTGTTTTTTCTCTTTTACTCTTTTAGGGGGTTCACCACCCACCTCCCAAATAAGTCACACACAGAGGCTTATACTTACTTATGAATGCCCGGCCTTATTTTGGCTTGTTGCTTGCCAGCTTCCCTTAAATTAACCTGTCTACCTTTTGCCTCTCAGCGTTCTTATTCTCTTACTTCTGTAAATCTTACTCTTACTCCATGGATTGCTGTGTAGCTGGGTGGCTGGCCCCTGGAGTCCTCCTCGTTCTCTGGCTAACTTCTTCTTTCCCTTTTTCCAGATTTCTCCTTCTATATATTCCTCTGCCTGTCAGCCCTGCCTGTTCCTATCTCCTGTCTTGCTATTGGTCCTTCAGCTCTTTATTAGACCATCAGGTGTTTTAGACAGGCACAGTAACATAGCTTCACAGAGTTAAACAAATGCAACATAAACAAAAGTAACACACCTTAATATTCTACAACATATGAGTGTGTGGTATATGGCATGTATGTGTGAAGGCCACAGCAAGTTGTCAGTGGTCCTGCTCTGTCACTCTCTACCGTATTTCTCTGAAACAGGGTCTCTCACCAACCTCGAGCTAGGCTGGCAGCCAGTAAACCCAGATGGCCCTCCTATCTCTGTCCCCAACAGCATAGGAGCTGACTGTATTTACAGCATGATCCTCAGGACAAAATATTTGGAGTTACATGTGTATGTGTGGCCATGGCTGGCTTTTTATGTCGGTGCTGGGTATCTGAACTCCGGCCCTCATGGTTAAGAAATAAGGGCTCTTACTGAGCCATCACTCCAGCCCCATATTTATCTTTTAAAGATCATAACACCTATGGCCACTTTATTTTTTTCTATTTTTTTTTTATTTATGTGTTTTTTGTCAGCATGTACATATGTACAACATGTGTGTCTGAAACTCCCAGAGATTAGAAGAGGTTCCCTCTAACTGGATTTACATATGACTGGCAACCAAATCTGGGTCCTCTGTAAGAGCAACAAGTGCTCTGAACCCCGAGCCATCTCTTCAGCCCCCTAGAGCTACTTTTTTTAAGACTCAAGATTACAGTTTTTGATGTTTCATTATCAGAAAAAATGCTAATTTGAACAAACCTTAGCAATAAGAAAGTCAGGAAACTGAGCCTATAACAATGCTGCAGCCTCAGAGCCGTCCTAACCCCACCCCCACCACAGAGGCACTACTCACCTCAGGCCCAACTATTATGCTAGCAGTAAGCAACACCTCATACTGTTTATTTAAGCATCTAGGAAAGCAGGGAATGGTTTCCAGGTCTGGCTTTACCAACTAACTCCTGATCAAATCTCTCTGATTCCCTGACCACAGAAGGAATGAAAACACCTCCTCGTTAAGTTTTAGTGGAGACACAAATGAAGTACACATAAGCATACGTGTTAAACAAACAAAACGTTGATTATATCAGTAGCACTAATTTAAAATTCTATTTCTTTCTGTTTTGCATGGATCATACAAAAGATGCACAATTCAAAACTGTAAAATAAGTATCTAGAAGCATTCCCTGACATCTTCCCTGGGTGCGGCAATGTTCTAGGCAAGGAGTTGATGCTGGCCCTCTGCAGTCAGCCTACTCTGCTCTTACATCTTCGGCAGCTTTAGAATCTCCTTATCCTTTTGAAACTTTACCTGACTTCCTGGGCTTTCCTCGGTGGAATTCGCTGCTGTGTTCAGTTCACGTTCCTTAGTCAGCAGGTGTGACCTTCAGAGACATCAACCTGCTTTCTCTTCCTCCACCATCTCTATGATCTATTATTTGGATTGTCCTCAAATTTTCTCAGCTCTTCTCTATTTTCCACTCTGTCTTCTGCACATTAACTGCTGGAAATTTCTTTCATTTTCATCTCTAATAATTCTATTAATATTTTTCGTTTTTATTTTTTTAATTTCTAAGCTTTCTCCCTTTTTTGTAGCTCCTTTATGGAATATATTCTCTTTCTACTCTAAGGACATCAACACTGTTGTAAATTTTCACTTCCCCACAGAAATATACTTCCCCACAGAAAAAAAGAGATTTTTTTCTCTCTCCATTTAAAGGTCTTTCTCAAGTATCTGATGATTCTTGGTTACCTACTCAAATAACAGTAAAGAAACTCCAAGCCTATTTTATACACCAATATGCCCACCACCTAGATTATGATCCTGTGAGTGACAGCTAAGAACTGTGGTCTTTACAGGAAGATAATCTGTGTCGTTTACTGAGAACCCCACATCATCAGTTCCATTAGATTTCACTGCTTGGTTTGGTCAGGTCACTCATAGAAAAGGCCTCCAAACTCCCACATGAGGTAGAGGGACCGGGGTACTCGCTTCTGGGAAGCAAGCAGAAAAGGGAACTGAAGAAATGGTTCCCACACACTAGTATTAGATATATGATCTCCCTGGGGTTGCCAGGTCCCTCTGTTTGACCATGGACAGAGCTTAAGCACCTCAACTTCTGCTAGGAAATGGGAATGATTCCAAACAATATGTTCTTTGAAAGGACATCTCAGAATCAGACCCTATCTTCAGGCCTCCACAAGTACCAAACATGCACGTGGTACACAGACATGCATGTAGGCAAAACACCAATAATTTTAAATTATTTCTCTCGGCGGTGGTGGCACACGCCTTTAGTCCCAGCACTCAGGAGGCAGAGGCAGGCAGATTTCTGTGAGTTTGAGGCCAGCCTGGTCTACAGAGTGAGTTCTAGGACAGCCAGGGCTACAAAGAGAAACCCTGTCTCAAAAAACAAAAACAAAAACAAAAATTCCAATCTACCCTAGGCAATCGCTAATTTTTTTTCTACATTCGCTTTATCAGTCATTCGTCCATCTACCTATGCATTACACCAGCAGTCCATCATACTTGTGCATGCATTTCCAACCACAAAGAGAGCATCAGGACATCTCACTCCTACAGTTCATCGCATATGTCAACAGGAAAAGTGCTAATACAATCACTAACTAAATACAATATGGCCTTATTATTTTAAGTACAATTTACATACACTGAGATGCACCTGCCTCTGCCTACTGAGTGCTGGGATTAAAAGCATGCCCCACCACTGCCCAGCAATAATTGTTTTTTTTTTTTATTTTATGCACATGAGTATTTTGCCTGCACGCATGAATGTACACCACTTACATGCTTGGTGCCTGCCGAAGCTAGAAGAGAGCATGGCTGCCTGGGAATTAGTTGGCATTAACAAACAGTTGTGAGCCTCCCTGTGGGTGCTGGAAATCAAACCCAGGACCTCTGAGAGAGCAGTCAGTGTTCTTAACCTCTGAAGCATCTCTCCAGCCCCAAGTTACCTCATATTTTTGCCTATTGCCTATTCACCTCAGAGACAACCACTATTCAGATTTTATTCACTAACAATTAGCTTTTCCTATTGTAAAACTTTATGAACAAAAAAAATCACGTAAGATGTCCTCATGTATATAAAATTTCTTTCACTCAACATATGTCTAAGATTCATTCTTTTAACTGCACATCTTAGCTGCAATTATGGGCATGTGCCACTGTGCCTAGCTAACAACAGGAGTCTTAGTAGTGAACTACCAGCAGAAAATGGATAACTGTAGGTGCAATATGTTTCTACACTACCATACTTTAAATATCAATAACAAGATTACACATTAATATGAATCTCTGACAAAAACAATAATGTTAAGGAAAAGAAGCCAGACACAAAAGAATACATGCTAAATTATTCAATTCCCATAAAGTAAAAAAAAAAAAAAAAGGAAGACAGACAGACAGACAGACAAAAAGAAAGAAAGAAAGAGAAAAAAGGAAAACTGGGGCTGGAGAGATGACCCAGCTGTTAAGAGCACTGGAGGCTGCTCTTACAAAGGACCTGGGTGGGTTTGATTCCCAGCACCCAAAGGGCAGCTCACAACTCCAGTTCCAGGGGATCTGACGCCCTCTTCGGGCCTCCACAAGCACTAGGCACATGTGCTATTCCGACATATATACAAGCAAAATCCCCAAACACATATAAATATTTTAACTTTTAAAAAAAGGAAAATATAATTCACACTATCAAAAACTAGGATAGTAATTAACAAGATAAAAGAAAGGACTTCGGGTACTTTTCTATTACATGATCTGGATGCTTGCTTTGACTTATATGGTAATCTAAGTGAATTTATTTATACTTACATAATACTTTATAACTAAATCCTACATAACAGAGGATTTGGGGTATTAAATTCAGTGCTTTTTTTCTTTTTGAGGCATATAATCTATTGCAGTGACACATAAACCTATGTAATCAACAAATCACCTGCAGTGTTTCTGGAACATACAGTCAGGCTAGAAATTCTGGCTCAAATTCTATGTTATGAAGGGGCCTAGAGTGTATATAGAACACACACACACACACACACACACACACACACACACACACACACACACACACCTCCTTTGTGATTTTGCATGTTGCCTGAAGAACAAGTATTCTAAAACCCTGATTAGCAGAATTCTGTACTCTTTTTTTCATACATGCAACAACATAAAAACATTAACTGATTAAATAGTTCAGCTGGTAGGGTACATGAGCAGGACTCACAGAGCCATGTGTTCAGTCAGTCCCCAGCACTGCATAAATCAGGAGCAGTGGAACATGTCTGTAACCTCAACACTTAGGTGGTGAAGAAAGAAAGAACCCAGTTCAAGGTCATCTTCAGCTACACAGCAAATTTGAGCCATCCTGGGATACATGACACCCCTTCCCCACCCCTAAAAATGTCTTAAAAAAAAAAGTTAAAGTGGGACTGAAGACCCAGTTCAGTGACAGAGTGTTTGCTTGCTATGCGCGGAGGGAGCCCTGGGTTAAATCCCCACTGTGGAAATGTTTTACAAACACACAGACTAGCCCCGTGAGTGAAAACCTCTGTGAGATCCACTGTAGACATGAACAGCAAGCAAGGATGCAGAACAAAGCTGGGCCCCAACTGGAAGAGGGGAGGCAGCCTTACCATAGAGTTTCTCCTGGGTCCTCTGTGCCTCGGCCAGTCTCTCCTCAGCCGCCCGTCTTCCCAGACCAGCCTCCTTCCTAGCGACAGCCAGGTCATACTCCAGACGCTGTCGCAGCGCTTCCCCCTTCTCCACCTCAGATCGCAGCCTGGCAATCTGGCTCTCGTAGCTTGACAGCTAAAACAGATTCTTGAGCTCATGAACTAGCACGAAAACATGTCTCCAAGACAATGAGACTGCATACTCAAGCATTTACATTTCTTAGCAAAACCTCGCTTCATGTTTATCAGCATTCATAACTGACATTTTCTCAAACACTAGGAAGGAATCGCTGCCTTACCAGACAATAATCATTAAGTGCCTTATAGATTCCTTTAGAGGAAAAGCCTTTTTAAAGAAACAACAACAAAAAACCACATTTCAATCACAAAACCATGCCTAGAAAAAAAGCATGACACATAATGAACACTTAAAAATTCCTGTAGTCCTCTACTTTTATCTCCTCAATGTACCCCAGGAGAAAATGGGCTGGGGAGGAGGCTCGTCAGTGTTCAGTGCTGGCTGCCCCTCCAGAGGGCCCCAGCATCGTGAGGAGCAGCAGCTCACGACCACCTGGGACTCCAGTCCAGGAACCCAACTCTCTTCTAGCCTCTGAGGGTACCCTACACATGACAGACACTCATATACACATACAAAATAGAAAAAAAAAAGGATTTAAAAGAAGCAAATGGCAACAAAATACAATTTAGTGAACACTGTGTTATTTTCCTTAGTTAAAATATCAGTGGCAGCATAAAATAATAAAAGTAGCAATATTACGGAGATCCTAACAAAGGGCTATCTAACTGTGACATTCCATTAAATACTGTGACGGAAATGGCTCAGAAAGCTAGAATGTGATGATCTATAAAGTCCTGTCTCACTCGAAAATTGTGGTATAGTCAATGGTTATATAACTTATCATTTGTAAATAATTAATATATTAAATAACATTTAATAGTTGCTATGTGTTGAGTAAAATAAAAGAGAACAAATGTCATAGAGCCCTAAGTTCAAGGGCCTAAGTGCTACAGAGAAGCATAGAAACTAAATTTGGGTTTGGGGATTTTTTTTTGGGGGGGAAGGGGTTTTGTTTGTTTGTTTGCTTGCTTGTTTTTTTGTTTGTTTGTTTGTTTGTTTGTTTGTTTGTTTCAAAAAGGGTTTCTCTGTATAGCACTAGCTGTCCTGGAACTTACTTTGTAGACCAGGCTGGCCTCAAACTCAGAGATCCATCTGCCTCTGCTTCCCAAGTGCTGGGATTGAACGCATGCACCCCACCACCCAGCCAAATTTTATAAAGTAAATAAAACAAAGTTTTATGATAGTTTGAAGGAAAGTAAAAGCAATGTGTGTTTGGTTTTTAAAGAGAGAAAAAAGAAGGGAGTGGAGTTAGGTGAGGAGGGAGGAGAGGAGGGCCTGGAAGGAGTTCGGGGAGGGGAAAGTGATCAGAAAATACTGTATGAAAATTTTTCAATTAAAACATAATAAAATGCTAAATATTTAATCCAAAAAAGTAAGTAAAGGTCTGTGCTTTAAAAAAATTAAAATTTAAAAAACCTGACAGTGTAGCTCACTAGCAGAGCAATTGCCTAGCATTAGCTAGGATGCATTCCCACACCACATACACACAAAAAGAGAACAAGATTTGATACAGAAATGAAGAAGAGTAAGAACAGAAAAAGAATACATATATACATATAATTTATGAATTCTCTTAGAAGGGAAAGAAAACTCTAAATAAATATATGTACCTATGAAATATGCACTAATAAGATGTCATAATAAAACAAAGATGATTTCTGAATTATAGCATTAAGATTCTGTACACAATGTCCTTATTTAAGGAAGAAGACTGTTCCATGATTCATACCCTAAAGGAATCTACATTATGATTTCAAGGATGTGTATGGTTTAAGCCTTGCACAATAATACACACACAGATCACAGCACTTGGGCAGCTGCAGCAGAAGGACTGATTCTGAGGAAGCTCTCGTACAAAACAAGAGCTCCCTCAAAACAGTCTTTTTCTACTTTATAAATCCTGTAGTCATCAATCACATCCATCAAATAACACATTTGGCCATGTAAAGCCTGTTGATTAAAATACATCTGGCTGTCAGGATAGCTCAACCGGTCAAGGAGCCTGCTGCCACACCTGAGTCACCTCAATTTAGTCCCCGGTACCACAGGTGTCTCTAATTAGGGTTACTACTGCTGTGATCACACACCAGGCCCCAAAAGCAAGTTGACGAGGAAAGGACTTATTTGACTTGCACTTTCAGATCACAGGTCATCACTGAAGGAAGTCAGGACAGGAACTCAAACAGGGCAGGAACCTGGAAGCAGTAGCTGATGCAGAGACCATGGAGAGGTGCTGCTCACTGGCTTGCTCCCCATGGCTTGTTCAGCCTGCTTTCTTATAGAACCCTGGACCTCCAGCCCAGGGATGGCACCACCCACAATGGGCTGGACCCTCCCCCATCAATCACTAATTAAGAAAATACCCTACAGCTGCATCTTATGAAGGCATTTTCTCACTTTCAGACAACTCGAGCTTGTGTCAAGTTGACATAACTTGAATATCCCTATACAATTCTGCGGTATAGAAAGAAGTATTTTCTTTATTACAATTTCCTTTGAAGCACTAGAATGACATAGTGAGAAAAGTTAAATGTAGCTTCTAATAAGAAATGAAACCAAAAACTGAAACCCAACTTTGGGGGGAGGCATTGCCTCCCAAAAGCTGGGACTAAAGGCCTACCACACCTGACTGCAATTCAACTTTTGACACGACTTGGGAGGAAAAGAAATTCTACCTCTGTGTTGTGCTTCGTCGTCATTTCTAGTTTCTCCTTCTTAGCCCGATGGAGTTTCTTCCTGAGATCAGCAGTGATGTCTGACTCGGTTTCATTTTTAAGCATTTGCTTTACATCCAATGAGGCATTTTTCAACCTACAAAACAAGGTCATAATAAAATATAATTCTCATGCAATAAAAATATTCTAACAGCATTTCTCATAGCTTGTTTTAAAAACAGAATATTAGAATAACAGCATATGATAAGATCCTAGGATAATAAATTCACAACCTAGTAAAATATGTCCACTGCAAAACTTGGGTAAAAATGCCAAGTGGTATTTTACTAGTAACAAAATACTGTCTACTGAAAATACACTACATTTTTCAAGCTTTGTATCTAAACCAACCCATCACATCAAATGCTGGGTACTCTGGGAAGAGAGAGACCTCTTTCATTTTTAATATATTTCAATCACTGTAAACGTAACCCACATTACAAAAAGAAAAAGTATAAATAACAGAATACACATTCATGCTTTAAAATGGCAAACTATACTCTCCTGAAAAATAACAGTAATAATTACAACCACAGGAAAGAGTCCCCAGGTAGAGAGCACAAGGAGAAAAGAAGTCCCAGCAATAGACAAGCAGGTAGATAACTGACTTACCTAACAACTCAAAGCAAGCAGTGAGCAAAGCAATAACATGCCAAACGTCACAGCTTAAAGCACAGGACTCTACAGGGTACCATTGTTCACTTTGTGCTTGGTGACTTCTTAGCAACCAGACACAAGTCAGAGTTCTCTGGGACCCTTGGGGAACCCAGTTGAGAAAATGTCTCCATCAGGCCTGTAAGCAAATCTGGAGGGCATTTTCTTGACTCATGATTGCTGTGGGAGGGTCCAGCCCACTGTGGGTGGTGCCACCCTAGGCAGGTAGTCCTGAATTTTCTAAGAAAGCAGGCTGGGCAAGCCAGGAGGAGCAAGCCAGTGAGTGCCATTCCTCCATGGCTTCTGCTTCAGTTCCTGCCTCAAGAGGCTGCCTTCCGTTCATACCCTCACTTCCCGTAGCGATGGGGTGGGGCTTGAGAACTGTAAGCTAAAATACACCCTTCCACCCAAAGATGCTTTGGTCATGGTGTTTTATCACTGCAATAGAAAAGTAACTAAGACAATCTTCATGTCCAACTTGATACAGAGCATGAACTGCAGGCCACTGCTGCTGCTTGGCCTCACAGTGGATTATACCCCATACTGCTAACTCAACTGAAAGCTGTCATGATTCTACCTATACAAACATGAATAACAAATTTAACCAAGACTACATTAGCACATGTGGAAAAAGAGGAAAGGAGCTGGCATGACTGGAAACTGAATTATGATTATCTGTGGTGGGAAGTCAATAGACAAAGATTAAAACTGAAAAATCAAATAGTAGCATTAAATCCTTCAGATGAAAAAGAAAACTATCTCAAAGAACTAAATATGATGATTTCTAGGAATCAAGAAAGAGATCTGTTTCAAAGAAATTAGCACCGTTTCTCCAACAGCAGTAGTCCTGGGGGGGAGGGGGATTCAACATATGTCTATACAACTTTAACTTCTTTCAATACAACTAAAGGAGAATAGATAAAAATCAGTGAAACCAAAACTTAGTTCTTTGAAAAGATAAAGTTGATAAACTTTCCTAGATGAACAAAGAAAAACAGAGAAAAAACTCGGAAATATTAGGGATTAACCTTAAGGCTTCACACCCGCTGGGCAAGCACTCTACCACTAAGCTACAACCAAGCCGCCTTTTTACTTTTTATTTTGAGCAGGGGCAGTATGTCTTCAAAGACATTCCCCAAGTGCCCCACATCTTTTACCATCAATTAAAATGGTAATTCTATCCACAGATGCAACACAATCTTTTATCAAATTCCAGAAGACCCTTTTGTAAAAATTGACAAGGTGATCCTAAAATGTATATGGAAAGGCAAAGGATTCAAAACAGACAACACACTGTTGATGAACACATGAGAGAACTTCACTTCCTGTTTTCCAAACTTACTACAAACTTATGTATTATGGACTGAATGGAAAAGTCTCCCATAGCCTCCAGTGTTGAATAAAGGCTTGACCCTCAGCTGGTGGCACTCTTTGGGGAAGTGGCAGAAGCCTTATACAGTGGGGCCTACCAGAGGAGGTGGGGCACCTGGGGAATGTCTTTGAAGAACGGACTGTCCCTGCTTACTCCCTGACCCTGGTCTCTTCCCCTTGAGGATTCCAGCCTCCACAAGGTGAGCAGCCCTGCAGCACACACTCTCGCTGTGGTGATGCTATGTGGAGGCAGCTAACCAGGGACTTCACTCCCAAACCACCAAGTCCAAATAAACCTTCTCTTTCTTAAACTTCTCTCTCGAATATTTGTCAGCAATAAGAAACTGACACATTTCAATAATCAAGACGAGGTAGTATTTAATTAAGAACAGACACGTGTTTAAAAAAGAGAAGTTAGCATGTGCTTGACCATTTTGCATACCTGTATGTGCACAGCCTAACACCATAAAAATTAAGTGATAATGATCAGAATTTAGACTCTTGAAAAGCCTATATTAAAGTCAAGCAATCTTCAACAGCAGTGCAAAGACAGTTCAATAAGGAAAAACAGTATTCACAACAAATGTTCTGAAGCAACTGGCTATCCATGTGCAAAACAATACATTCAGACCCTGACCACATGGTACACAGAAAGTAACAAAGTGAAACAAACATAAAAAGTAAAATTGTAACACTTCCTGAAAGAAAAGTAGATGAGAAGTATTCAAGACCTTAAGTCCATTAGATTTTTGTGATATAAAATGAAAAGCATAATCTACACAGATAAAGAACAGAGAAACAGAACTTAGAGGTTAAGAACATTTGCACGTCACAGTACACTCAGAGAGAATGAGGGGGAACATGCCTCAGGAGCAGTGCACTGACCTAGCACAGGCAAGGCCCTGCATCCATCCCCAGCATAACCAACACCCTCACATCACAGCAGAAACCAGCAAGCAAAATGAAAAGTCAAGCACTTAACAGGATAAAATGCTTATTTCATTTGATAAAGGACTTGGATCCAACATACACAAAGAATTCTTAAAGTTCGATAATAAAAAAAAAAATTTTTAATGGGTAAAGAGCAGAAAAGACATCTGGGCAATGGTAGTGCATGCCTTTAATCCCAGCACTAGAGAGACAGAGACAGGTGGATCTCTATGAGTGCAAGGCAAGCGAGTTTCAGAACAGCCTGAACTGTTATATAGAGAAACCCTGAACCCTGTCTTGAAAAAAAAAATTAAGTAATTTTTCAAGTGCTGACAAGGATATAAAGAAACTAAAGCTTTCAAATACTGTTGTCATGAATGTAAAATTATCCAATCACTGAATTTGGTGGTTTCTTAAAAAATTTAGCATAAATTTGCTACATGATGCAGCAATGCTGGTCCTGTGAACCTGCCAAGAAAGACGAACAGAAATGTACGTCAGCACAAATGCATACATGCAATGTTTATAGCAGCATTACTCATAATAGCCAAAGGGAGAAACAACATTAATTCCTACCGACTGGTGAATGAGTAACTAAGTGTAGTAAATCCATACAAAGGCCTATACGTGCTATAATATGATAAATCTGAAGAACAAGCCCAGAGAAGCCAGACACAAAAGAGGCATGATTCCATTGACATGAATTATTCAGAATGATAAAGCTATATAGAATGTAGGTCAGGGGCAGACTTGAAATAACTTCCTTCAGATTCTAGAATTTGAAGTAAAGATTTCTCCATTAAAAGCATGGGGAGGCTGGCCCAGCAGTTTAGAGCACATGCTGCTCTTCCAGAGGACCTGGGTTTGAGTCCCAGCACTGACACTGGGCAGCTCTCTTTTTTTTTTTTTTTTTTTTTAGATTTATTTATTATTTATACAGTGTTCTGCCTGCATGCCAGAAGAGGGCACCAGGTCTCATTACAGATGATTGGGAGGCCACCATGTGGTTGTTGGGAATTGAACTCAGGACCTCTGCAAGACTGTTCTTAACCGCTGAGCCATCTCTCCAGCCCAACACTGGGCAGCTCTTAATGCCTATAACTCCAACCCAAATGGGGTGACAATCTCTTCCAGCCTCCCTGGTCACTCTCACATGCACATTCACTCATACACACACACACACACAAAGAGACAGAGATATAATACATAAAATTTTAAAACATATGTATTATGGATATCTACTGATGTTTCCTTCCTAAATTGAAAAAGCATAATAAATAATGTAAAATATTATAATTCTAAAATATGTATTTATATAACATATTGCTACTTCATAAGAAAAGTTCTGGGCAAATATTTACCGAATTATCCATGGTCAACTCTAAAAGATTACATATGCATATATACATAGTCTCTATCAATCCTTCTCAAACTCAGTATAAAGAATTATCCATAGCTTCAGCTGTGCAGTGGAGGCGCACACCTTTAATCCCAGCACTCGAGAGGCAAAGGCAGGTGGATCTCTGAGTTCGAGGCCAGCCTGGTCTACTACAGAGTGAGCTCCAGGACAGCCAGAACTACACAGAGAAACCCTGTCTTGAAAAAACAAAAGAATAGTAATTATCCACAGCTAACCTTTTTGATTCTGTTACAGAATATATTTTAAATCATTTATTTCAGGAAACTGACAGACTACAACTCCAAATGTTCTATTTTTAGATTCTGTAGAGAATCAGTTCCTTCACTATAAAAGTTCTAAACATTAATTTCCTGTTTTGTTTTTTATTTGAGACAGGGTCTCACCATGCAGTCCTGGAAATCTGAAAATTGCTCTATATACTAGACTGCCTGAACTCACAAAAACCTACCTACCTCTCTGTCCTGAGTGCTAAGAATACAGGCAACACACATCAGGCCAGGATAATTTTGATTAATGAAATTATTTTCTTTTCTTTTCTTTCTTTTTTTTTGTTTTTTGTTTGTTTGTTTGTTTGTTTGTTTGTTTTTTGAGACAGGGCTTCTCTGTGTAGTTTTGGTGCCTGTCCTGGATCTCGTGCTGTAGACCAGGCTGGCCTCGAACTCACAGAGATCTGCCTGGCTCTGCTTCTGAGTGCTGGGATTAAAGGTGTGCGCCACCACCGCCCGGCTTGAACTTATTTTCTTGAAAAATGCACTTAGAAAAAAAATAACACCCTAAAATTGTCCATTTTTTATTGTAGATCCCATCCCTCAAAGGCAATGGAATAAATTAAACATCTTACCAAGAACAGAAAGGAAAATGTGGCACAAAAAAGCAGAACATCAGTGAGACATGTCTTGTTGAATGCACTCAAAGACACGGAGGAAAAACAGTCAGCAAGGGGGCTAAACTAATGGAGCACTCGAGCAGCCAGGTCAGAGACGCAGCAAGGACACAGGGCAGAGCCACGGAAGTACGGCAAGCAGGTAATGGCCAGACGAACATAAGCCACGGAGGTACAGCAAGCAGGTAATGGCCAGATGAATGTAACCAGACAGAAACATGGGGAGAAAACTGCAGTTATGGAGAATAAGCAGATCTCAAGTAAGAGGAGATAGTTCAGGCACACAGACCTTTATGATCCAAGTTAACAGAGGAACACAGGGGACCTGAGAGCCAATACTAAGAAGGTACTGCTGCTTTTTTAGTCCCAGGAAACCTACTTCCTTCACCATCCCAGAAGAATCCTTGCAATTAACTTCATCACCCACTTAATTCTCCCTGGTTCTTGCAACCAAAAGCATTTTCCAACTAAAGGAAGAGACTGGAGGCTTACCTTTGGGTATCCCCAGTAGTGGCATTACTTGAAGTGTTTAAATTCATGGTAAGTCTTCCAAGTTTTCACAATAGCCCACTGTTTCTTAATGATATACTTCTTTATGATGATGTCTGTGACTTACAGGTTAGATGGACTAAAGTCTGTTAACATAATAAACAATACAATAGTAATTTTATATTTGAATCCTGAGAAGGTGAGCTTTATTTTTATCTATAGCCTATTTGTTGATTTCTAAATTATTGTATAGAATAGAACACAGATAATTCTGAAAATCTATACTGTACAGCTGGGTGTGGTACACACACCTGAAATCCAGCACCTGAGGGAGGCAGGGGGGTCAACTCAATGTCATCCTCATCTTAGTAAGGTGGAGGCCAGCCTGGGATAAATGACATTCAGTCTCAAAAGAAAACAATGGTAATAATGCTACAGGGCTTTTCATTTGAAAACATTAGAAGTAAAAAAAGAAGGGCATAATGTTAAAAAAAGTTTTAAGAACATGGTAATGTTAACTTTTAATCTGCTTTAATTTCTTAAATAAAAATAAGAGTGACAAGTTATTCTTGCACTTGGAAAGAAATATATGTAGTACCAACCTTTGGGACACAGAATTCAGTTTAAATAAATGGGGTATTTTAACACAATGTTGTCAACGGAGATACCAAAATACTCCCAAACAAAAGATCTCATAATAATCTGCTTAATTTCACACTTTTTATTCAAAGATTCAAAACAAATAAAACACAATAGCTAATAATCCAATCAAACATACAATTCAGAAATATCTTGTGGTGTTCTTATAAGTCCAAGGAAAACGTAGGTAGTGGTGGTGCACACCTTTAATCCCAGCACTCAGGAGACAGAAGCAGGCGGATCTCTGAGTTCGAGGCCAGCCTGTCTACACATCAAGGTCCAGGACAACCAGGGCTACACAGAGAAACCCAATCTGAAAAACAAACAAACAAAAATAGTCCTAGGAAAGAAAACTACACCATTATCTTTACCAGAGAAATAAGTTATGATTAGCAAGTCTGTGGAACTAGTGAGCAAACAGAAGACTAACCCTGCTGATCAAACCATATCACACCACTGTGAAAACATTTCTTACCCATCTGTACCAGCAGTCTTCCTTCACAAATTAGTGTCATAATTTAACCATTTCCTCCAAAGAGAAGCAAGAAAGAAAAGAGGGTTTGTCGCTTACCCTGACTGGCCTCCTGGAACCCTCTTCTACAGGAGATATTCCAAATTACACAGAGCCAACCATGTAAATCAAGTTACTTTACCATAGCGCTAAAGTAACTGGGTAAACACTCCAAACAGAGATAACGCTAATGCAGATATCAGTATCCCACAGATGCCTCCTTACAGTCCCTAAAATCCAATGTCCTCGGAAAGACTGAAGTTTAAACTTCAGAGACCTGAAGCAGGATCCAACCAGCACAAGTATATGGCCTTAGTCAAGACACTTAAGAGTTTGTGAACATCTTCCCTCTGGCCAAGAGAGTTAGCGATGGCAAGCTCCCTCCTTCTAATTCCTACACACAGCACATCAGGACTCAGCCGCTATCAGTTTTTATTACTGGGTCATGGAACTTGGAAAAGCTTAATGATCCCCAATAAAAGGGAATAGCTGAGTAATTTGGTCTGGGAAAAAGATGTAATAAAATAATTATTTAATGATATTGTGAGTGTACAAAGGTACCCAAGATGAAAACAAGAGGAGAAAAAGTGTCAACATGTTCTGCCTCTGCCCCATTAACCAAGCCCCAGAAGAAACCATGAAAGGAAGCTATTCAACTAGAAGAAGTGCTGAGAAATAATGATTCCAACAAACAGTGACTCATGCGGCTGAAAGAATCATTTGGCCCAGGGAAAACAGGATGGAACTTTAGCCAAGTCCAGAAAAGAAAAATCGAATTTCTCCAGTGGCCTAAATAACTAAACGTAAGAAGGGTGGTGGCAGCAAACACTATTGTCCCTCCTCTGCTGGGCACCCACCGCAGCGTCCAGACTACAGTCTGAATGTCTAGAACTCTGCTCCCGACAACACTGCAGTGAAAAGACTGTCCAGTTTTTCAAAGGACAAAAAGACGACAGGGTAGAAACATCTTGAAGAAAGTAACAGAGTTAAAGGGCCAAATCCCCGATCGTAACTAAGATCCCAAGGCCTAAGTGCTTGCTGCAAGGTCACCGGTGACTCAGAACGTGGGGCAGTTTATGGTCTTACCCTGCTTCGATACCCTTGTTTCCATTACGGAAAGTTCACTCGGACAGAGAAGCTAAATGACTTGCCCAAGGCCAGTCAGTCACCCACTATGGGGACGTGGGGAGGTGACACTGCACTCAGCCACATCTCCTTGTGTGTATGCTTGTTTAGTTTTGGAGTGTGAGTCCCAATTTTTTTTCACACTACCAAGATGTTCCCAAAGATTAGACCCCAAACAAGCCTCCTTCAGAACGTTTGGAAGAAGCGTTGGAATCTAGCAGAAACAGACTGCTCTGTACTCTGAGTAATGCCAGGGATCACTGACACACACAACCAAGGATTTTGTTTCTTTTGTTGTAGTTTTATTATTTTATGCATACGAGCGTTTTTTGCCTGAGTGTATGCCCCACATGCATGGCTGGTGCAAGTGGAGGTCAGAAGAGGGCATGAGATTCCTTGGGACTGGAGTTACAGACAGCTGTGAACATCAAGTGGGGGCTGGGACTCGAACCTGGGTTCTCTGCAAGAGAAACAGTTTTCATTTCTGGGGGTGGGAGTCAATACATACATACACAATCTCCACACACATGCATGTATACATATATAGTCCAAAGGCATAAAAATATTTCTATTTTACCCTCTGGGGAAAGAATTTTAGATGGAGTAGAGATGCAAGACAGTGGTCAGGCACCAGCTTAACAAGCAGGGAGATCATGAATTTCATCCTCACCAGCACACACACACAAATAACTTTAATTTTTAATTTTTTTATTTATTCATTTTTATGTGTATAAGTGTTTTGCTTGTATTGTATGTCTGTGTACCATATATGTGCCTAGTCTCCTCAGAGGCCAGTAGAGGCAGTCAAATCCCCTGGAACCAGAGTTAGATATGGTTGTGAGCCACCATTTGGGTGCTGGGAATTGAACTCAAGTCCTCCAGAAGAGCATCCAATGCTTTTAACCTCTGAGCCATCTCTCCAGCCTATAGAAATGTTTTAGATAGTAACAACCATAAAAATGTTTTGTTTTATTTTTCTTTGTCTTGGGAAGATAAATGGGAAAAGGGAATAATTGATCAAATTTGTTGAGTTTGTTTCAGCAAAAACAAATAGAAAAAAATCATTTTTTCTGTGTATTTAGGCACCTAATATCTTCAAATCTAAAGTCTTCTAGACATGGGCTTGTAGAGAGCCCCACAGAGAGTTCCTTCAATCCCAGACCAGATGATGTGGTAAGCATATGGTCCCCACATCTTCAACCCCAGTGCTACTTTCTTATGTAATATTCTGCACCTGACAAGGAACAACCTGGGACCTGCTTCTGTGGCAAAGGTGGCAGGATGACACTGCCGTAAGATTGCTGGGGTGGTAGTAGAGCTCACTGGCACAGCATTTGCACAAAACAGCAGAACCTATCTTCAAATCCCAGCACTCAAAAAACCAACCAACCAAACAAACAAAAAAACTTACCACCTTTCTTTTTAAATTTTGTTTTATGTGCATTGGTGAGAGGGTGTCAGATCCCCTGGAACTGGAGTTACAGACAGCTATGAGCTGCCATCTGGGTGCTGGGAATTGAACCCAAGACCTCTGGAAGAACAACCAGCACTCTTAACTGCTGAGCCATCTCTCCAGCCGCCCAAAGCTTACCACCTTTAAAAAAGCAAATTGCCATGCTATGAACTACCTAAAGGCAGGGCCACAGGGAAGTGCAAGCAACCTCATGGCCTCCACTCAACAGCTAGTATACAACTAGATCCCTCCAGCATACGGTTCACAAGAAATAAATTGTCAGGGACCTGAGTAAGGGGGCAGATTCCACCGACTGCCTAGAGGTAAAAATACAGCCCAGTAAGCACCTTGTAAGTCCCCAGCAGAGGGCCCAGCTCCACTGCATCAGGACTAGTAAACCACACAGACAGTGATACCAAGGAGTGCTGCTGGCCAGCTGTGGTGGGAGACACCTGTAATCCTCACTTGGAGGCTAAGGTAGGATGTTCTCAAATTCTAGACTGGCATGAGCTACTTAACAAAATGTGGTCTCAAAAGAAGCCAGGAGGCCGGGCGGTGGTGGCGCACGCCTTTAATCCCAGCACTCGGGAGGCAGAGCCAGGTGGATCTCTGTGAGTTCGAGGCCAGCCTGGGCTACCAAGTGAGTTTCAGGAAAGGCGCAAAGCTACACAGAGAAACCCTGTCTCGAAAAACGAAAAAAAAAAAAAAAAGAAGCCAGAAAATTAATAAAGCAATGTTCAAAGTGTGCATAGCTTTAAAACACTGACTTTGCAGTAACTTGTTATACAACAATATAAAACTAATATTGGTAGTGTGAAAGTGCTCATAGAAGGGTAAAAGTTTTAAAGCTGAACAGCAAGACAAGAGTATAACAGAAAACAGAAAAAGTGTATAACGGGACACGGCCCAACAAAACTGGAGGAGGAAACAAAGTCAGAAAGATCTCCAAAAGCAAGCCCCCAGAGCATTAATATACAGAAAGAAACAATTTCATGAAGTTAGAGCTTACCTGAGCCTTGCCTCACTCTCAAGGTGTAAGTCTATCTCCCATAAAAATAAGCAAAAGAAAGGGGGTGTGGTCACCGAGTAAAGAAAAAAAACAATATCTATATAAATGAAAAGTATGAAAGATATATCAAGACTAATGAAAATATAACTGCTCCAAAATAACTCAAAAACATCAGGAAAAGACATAGACAAGAAAGAGGCAGGAATGTGGCAGAGCACACCTTTAATCCCAGCACTCAGGAGACAGGCAGACAGAAGCAAGCGGATCTCTGAGTACAGTCTCCAGAGAGCCTTCCAGGACAGCCAGGCTATACTGAGAAATCTTGTCTCGGGAGAGGAGTGGGAGAAAGAGAAAGAGAGAGAAACTCTCAAAAGTGCCAGATGTGGAGGCAGAGACAGGCAGGTTTCTG